GGGCAAGCGTCAGCGCTCGGCACTTTCGAACCATCAGACTTTCAGTTATCCTCGCATACCAGCTGAACCAAATAGCCCTGAACCTAGAGTGGTCCAAGACCGTCGACGGCGGTGGTAAGACTGACATTTCCAGAGGAAGGTGATAAAAAAGACCGGTCTGATTGTCGAGTTTGACGCTTCCCTGAGCTTCATATTCAAGGCCTTACTGTAGAATGGTAATCAGCTATGAATCTCAAACAGCAAGAAACATCACGAACGAGAGATTCAGCTGGGTCCCAGGTGAATCACCCGCAAAACCAAACTGGTTTGCAAATCAGTGTATTTCACTGAAATGAGTCTAGCTTCAGAAACACTTGGCTAGCATGATGTGCGAAGGGCCTTCCCGGAAGTCTCCACGTCGGTTTGTTGATTTTCCTGCATTGAATCGAAGTGGAAAACTACACTGTCGGGTAGGAATCTCATGTATACGGATATGCCTGAAAAAGCATAAATTCTAAACACGAGACCGCGTAACAAATCAACAGCACATGAGGAGCAAGATGACAAATGCGAAGTAAACATTCAAACACAGCAACACAAAGAAGGCTGTCCAGGGGAGCACGCACGTCACCACATGCTCCATCAAGTAGGACGGTTATACGGATTGGCTGACCGACTTGTTTTCTGATTGGCTGATATCCAACGCGAATAAACAAGATTTCCAAAATATCGGATCATTTCTCCGCACTGCGTCAGCACGAATGGAAGACACACTGAGGGATCTCAACATTTCCCCCTACTGTTTTCAGTCAGTGAAACGTAGGAACGTGTAGGATATATAGGAGAATGTGACATCAGTGTTTAACACCGATGCTTCACTGCCGTACAAACGCAACGTGGTTGGTTCAGTCAAGCGCTAAGAAAGATAACTGTTTCAATATCAATTTTGGAGATTCCGTAACTGCAAAATAACTACCACGCCACCCGAAGGAAGCACGAAGACTGGGATACTGCCAGGTCGCCGAAGCCTAGACAGGGGAAGTCGAAACGGATAGGTAGGATAGGAACCGTGGACCTTCCGGTCAGTAAATTCGCGATCTAACCATGCAGCCATCTGGCACCTGAGATAGATATACAAATCTCATTTCAGCATCCTGAATCGATGGCTTTAGAGGACTAATGGCACGGTGGAATTCAGTGAAACGCTCCGGACAGACCATACCATTTTTGAAAAACTCCGTCTTTTTATTCGTTCAGCCCTACTGAAACAGACGGAGTTTTGACCAGACGGAGTTTGTAAGCCATCAGCGTACGGTTTGAAAAATGTGACCGAGGGAACTAATGAAATCTCCCATACAAAAATGACTGACCGCGCATCAACCAAGCACTGATCTAACTAGCCAGAAAATAGTTGGACCAACTAGGGGAAATGCTCATCTCAACTAACAGCTTAGAGAAACTGGCACGCACTCACTGATGACGTCCCCTGGAATAGTGATGAAAGGTTTGCGAGTAATACGAGACCAGGTGGAAATATGGACTCGATTGGAAGACGTTCGGTTGGTCAACTAACCTTCGCAGCCTCTTCACGACCAAGTTTCTCTTCCAAACGGCGTCGCCGCTCAGCGGCCAGCTCATCCAACCGAGCCCGACTTTCCTCATGCTTGGTCAAAATACTGTGTTGTTTTTGTTCGGCCTCAAGAGTCTGTGGGGAGAGAAAAAGCACGAGGATATATCGATCCTAGGTCAGGTGATGAAATACATTTACAAACACAAAGCGGTAGAAGTCACAGAGGCCAATTCGGACATCAACAACTACACGTCGATGATGTGTGAAGTACAGTCCCAGTGAACTGGAACAGGCGACCAACAGCATTGGGAGAGAGAAGGCGGTAAACACATGTTTGTTTGATGTAACCATGAGTAGTATTCGAAGAGTAAGTTACCATTAAACAGCAAAATACACTCATTTGCGAGAGAACCAGCTGGAATCCAGCTGAACCTCTCGTTTATGTTGTTTCTAAGACTCTTGAAAAACCAAACTGACTTGCAAATGAACGTATTTCTCGAAAACAGTCCAAATTGGGTTCAAGTAGAACACAAGATTGACGGAAACTCAGGGACTGCGCCTACCTCATGAGCCCTAAGAAGGGCGAAACCGGTCGTGGGCTGTCGATGAATTTTCAGTAACCTTATGAGTAGTGCACTACAAAAATATATATGTATTCCGATATCTCGAATATCGCAGTGGCTGAAACATGGGGCCTGGAAACATCCAAACCGAGAGATTCAGCTGGGTTCCAGGTGAGTCTCCCGCAAAACCAAATTAGTTTGCAAATGAGTGTATTTCGCTAATTTCGTGCAATTTGGTTTCAAGTAGAACTTAAGGTTGACGGAAACTCGGGGACTGCGCCTAACTGATGGGCTCCAAAGAGGGCTAAACCGGTCGTGGGTTGCCGAAGCATTTTCAGCAACGTTATGAGTAGTATATTACGTTTACCACTAAACAGTTTACAGGTTTTGAATACGAACAAAACCCTCAGAAGAGAAGTCGTGTGGAATACAAACTGAGTAAAGTCCACTTACCTGAATAAATGCGATCTCACGCCCCTTTGTTTCTTCATCATGTGCCTTCGAAATTCGGCGTTCAAGTTCCGCCTTTCGTTTGCGTTCCGCCGCATGCAGGCGTCGCTCCAAACACGAACGACGTTGATGTAGCAAAAGACGTTTATGCATGTGGACTTCTTCAACCTAACGAAAAAAGAAGCAATCAATATATGACTCAAATTTCGGACGGAAAGAAACGGGGTGCACAAACTGCAAATTCCGCCTAGATCTTGGTTAGTTCAGCGAGTTGAGTAATTTTGTTCCATGAACAATCGAAGTGACTCCATCGGTACATCGCAAGCGTGCGGCGATGTTATGCATGTGTCCGTTTATACAGGCTCCAGTTACCCTGGCTCCGTGTAGGTTGTGTTAGTTGGGACGAAAATCCCTATTGGCCCGTTAACTGTGCAGCCTACTGATTGTTTAGTGTCTAGGCTAGTACGCCCTAAGTACAACGCCCACGCACCCACGCTCACGCCCACTCCACAATCAGTTGCGTGGGTGTGTTGCTACCCTAAAAATTAGCCAGTAGGCAACCACGGTTGGTTTGGTTTAGCAGCAGTGTGCAGGTTTAGGTAAGTGACACAGTACACCTCCCTTCGAGCAGTGAACATTGTCCGTTGGGAGGAGGTGTGAACTCTCAACTGGAAAAGTTGACCTCTTGTCCAGTTATAGCGATGGCTCACTCCAAAACTTAATACCGTTTTAGTAACAAGCCATCTATAGGTTAGTTATCGAAGAATGACCTTAGAAGATTCGTCTGTTACCTGTGCTGTCTCAAGACCTCTATTTCATTCTTCGAAATGTAATGGGATTGCTTATTTACAAACAAACAGCTGATTCGCGTATCATACTAATTTAGCAATCAAATTCAGGTGTTATCCTGAGAGTGCATGGGTGAGAGTCCATCAGATGTACAAAGGTGTACAAAGATGTACACAAGTGTAAAATAACACTGAACGGCGGACACCCTCAAAAAATTCTAGGCATATAAAAGGCATCACAGCGTCAGACAAAGTGGAAAGACATTCTACCGTGGTCTGCTTTCAGTGTATGCTACCTGCCTGAACTCAGGGGCTAAAAAGTGGCGAAGAATCTAAATCATCATCATCATCACCGACAGCATGACATCAGTATTCAACACCGATGGTTCGCTGCCGTAGGAGAATGTAAGGCCCTCATAAGTTTGGTCATGATACTTCCAATTCGAAGCTAAACTCGGCAGTTCGGCTTGGACTTGGCGAGCTTGGCACTACCTCAGCGCTTGTACCTCCTTCGCGTAGCACGGTAATTATAGATCAAAACGATGTTACACCTGAACAGCGAGTTGCTCGATATGGCTCAGTTTGACCAGTTCCATTGTACAAACTAAAAGGATCAATCTAACGGTAGTTTCGAACCACGGTCAGACAGCTAGATAGAGCTTGCTTGCTTGTTAAGCGGAAATCCACACAGATACCGCTTTACCCCTCGCAGTTAGGCGCTGATACGGCTGAAAAGCCTATCCCGCACAAGATTGGCCGAAAGTTCGGACCACTTGCCGGTCCGGCATCAACGCAAGCCCTGATTGGACGGAAGCATGAACCCAACAACCAATCACGACCCAGTATTTGCCGAGTGCCATTAATGCATCCAGGCGTCAGAATTTCCAGAACGTTGTCTCGGCGCTGTACAAGTGTTCTTGACATGGTTTTAGGCGTAAATATACGTTGTGCACCTTTGGTGGTTGTTTTTGATGAGAACGCTAGCTTGGAAAGTTCTCACAGGGAGCTAAGCTGAGGAAAATACCGTTATTACATTGCGACAGATGTATCGTCTCCAAAGTGAAGTCAATTTACGCTAAGGAACGATACAGCTGTCTCATCGTATATTCACTAGTTACAAAGTGTAGAACAGAGAAACGTCCCACAGTGGCTGATTCGTTCACACGCTAGCCGCGCTAGCCCGGCCATCGTTAAACACGTAAATCGGACAAACCTTTTTGCTCAACTCGTGCACACGCTCTGAGCGCTCCAAAAGATGTTGCTGCCGAAGGATTCGAGCCCGGGTTTGTTTCTGTTCCAGTTCCTGCATCGAGTTGGTCGTTCTACAATGGGCAAACAGGTGGGAGGATCAGAGAAAACCAAACAACAAGCGTGGACCAATCATTTGTAGGCGCAAAATACGTCTATTCGTTTTGAGTAGGCGAGGATATGTAAACATTTGTGAACAGTTAGGAGGGAACAAAACGAACTGGAGTTTTCACGAAGAGAATGACCATTACGGGAAACCGACGCCGATAGATTCCCTGACTCCAGCGTTCCGTGTATTCTATTCGCCAACAACCGCGGATACTGTCGCGTCTATGAGACGTCCACATCTCCAAATACACAGTAAGAAAACCCGCCTAGAGACTGGCCGCATCACTGACCCGTCAATCAGATAGGGTCACGTAGACCCCAGCCAGGAGATACCGCACGACGGACTTCGAGTTTCGTACAATCCCCTTCAAGATCACTTCCAAGTCAATATCCGCTTAAAATATACCAGGTCCCAAGCAATCGTCTTCACTTTGTGTTTTCCAGGGGCCCAGAGGCGAGGCAATCTAGACAACCGAGCATCACGTTGATTGGATGAGTGTGTCGCGGGTCGGTTAGGGGACGAAGGGAGGCATGCCTTGAGTGGCCAAAGCGTCAGCCAATCAGTATCCAGCGCTTCTCGCCATTTCACGAAGGTTGCAGCGTGATTGTTCTGGAGCACCTCGTGCGGAACACACAAGAGATCAAAAAACCCATTTCACTAGTACCCGATTTGCAAAGCATACACAATATACAAAGCCCAGTAAAGTGGTATCAATTAACTGAAGAGGTTCCAAGAGGGGGGAGTCAATAAACCTTGTTGAATCCAAGAATCTCATCGTATCCAGCGCATGTTGGTTTGCGGGATTCCGGACGATGTCAGTAAAAAGCGTCTGGACAGAGTTTCGACCCACTTCTAATTTCCCGAAATTGCTTGTGTGCTCAACCGGCTGAAACCACACTGGAGCAGACCAGAAGACGAAGACAATGTCTGGATTCATCGTCGATTAAAGCGTCCAACTGAGTCGCAAAGTTTAAGTTGCCTCCCCACAGACTGTGGCTGTGACAATGTACCTTTGGTATGTTTTCATGAAGGAAGCTACTCACAAGGTTGCTGAAAACTCTTCGACAGCCCACGACCGGTTTCGCCCTTATTGGGGCTCATCAAGTAGGCGCAGTCCCCGAGTTTCCATCAACCTTATGTTCTATCTTTGGTGTACATCAAACAACCGGCTGAAGGAATCGGGCTGAAGTTTACTCCTTTTCCTTGACCTTGATTCTGTATACGTCCATGTATACACTTTTCATGTGCTTATTCTCGATCTGATGACCTTGGTCGAACTGCTTAAAATTTCCCTACCTCGGTAGCTGTATTAGTTCAGACGGAAGTGTGCCTGATGGAGTCCGTACAAGAATCTCAAAAACCAGGATCACGTTTGCTGGTTTGCGTCACCTGTGGCGTCAAAAAGGCATACCACTGGGTCTCTAGGGTCGCGTGAACCGGACTACACTAGGGGCTGTGTTGTTGTATGGGTGCGAGACATGGTCTCTGCGGACAGATGATGAGAGGCGTCTCCAGGTTTTTTACCACCTCAGAAGCGTTGTTGGTGTCGGATGCCGTCAAGAAATTCGTCACGAGGACATTACAAAAAGGGTATTTGGTTGCTCAGCAGGTACTTCGATCCCGGAAAATGTCCAACTCCATCAAATACGGCGGCTCGGCACCGCCTACCGAGATCAGTGTTGTTCTCTGTGCCTTCCTCAGAATGGCGCAAACCGAGAGGTCGACAACGTATGATTTGGCAGAAGGGTATGAAAGAGATTACATGGAGTTTGGGTGTTGTACGCCTTCCAAGATAAGGTTCTCATGGCTCCTTCTGCGCGTGGCTAGAGACATTGCAAGAAATGCCTGCTAATCGATTTCAGTGGTGTTCGTGTTGACAGTTTCTTTCCAGAGTGTCTGATTGAGCGCTTGGAGGTGTAGGCACCTCAGATGCCTGCGATCGACCGGCACCAAGTCTGCTCTCTCAACTGCACTTTTATCTTCATTCTAAGGCTTTGAATACAAAGAGGTGAATCTTGGGTGATCTTTAGGCATTCTGTAAGTGTACAAGCGCTTGACTGACGACCAGGATAGTGAAATCCCACATTCACATCACTCCTGTCCTGGCGCAATTATTCCGGTGAATTCATCCCGGACCTCATCAACAGTGCACATCATTGGCGTTCCGAAGTGATAATCCAGCGCCGGCTGGTGGACTAGACCCAACGCGCTCGATTCACGCGTCAGACGTGGAGAGTTCAAAACCCCAACATGATCAGGCACTGCTGATGAAGTCTAGTGCGAGCCAGGACACCCCAAGACGGGGGGCAGTGTTCAGCCTGCAGTGATGTGAACGTGACTTTCACAAATACCCCGGCTACCTACAACGGTGGAGTCTAGGAAACAGAAGCGAAGAACAAAGCCAAGAGAGAATGATCGAGGCTAAAAAGCCGCTCCGGGTAAGCATTGTTGATCCTCAGTTGTTTCTCCGTTATCAGATCACTTAGTCCGCTCAGTCGAAACTGTCATACACAAAGGTTGAGGTTTCCTGTCGGGGGCCTAACAGCTGATCGCCTTCTGTAAAATTCCAGCTATCATCATCATCATTAGCGAGAACAAGAACATCAGAGTTGAGATACTGAGGCTTCACTACCATACAACCACAGAATTCATCTAATTGTATTTAAAGCCCTATGGTGAAAAGAAGAGAAAACGAGTGGGTGAGGGAGGGAACATAGTGCTGGCCTATGTCAAGCATTCTCAGGTGACTATACCTCCAAGTTCTCAATAAGACAATCTGGAAAGAAACTGACACCACGAACGCCAGTGATATCGATTAGTCACTATTTCTTGCAACGTCTCCAGCCAGGCACAGGTGAGGTCACGGGGACCCCATCGTGGAAGGCGTACAACACCAACAACACCCAAACTCTTCGTGATCTCTTTCATGTACTGTCCACCTCGCGGTTCACGCCATCCTGAAGGGGGCACGGAGAACAACACTCGTCTCGGTAGACAGTGTTTCGGCAGGCGCAGCACATGACCGAGCCATCGTAGTCGATGATGCTGAATGTTTTCGCGGATTGAGGTGCCTGCTGCACAACCACCTCGTCGCTAATCTGTTGACACCATCCAAAACCAGCCACGCTTCTGAGGAATCGGTGGTCAAAAGCCTGAAAACGCCTCACACCACCTGTCGGTGGATACTAGATATCAATGGGGAGGTACTCAGAGTGTGCTGACACGCTTCTGATCCGCGTAATCACAAAAGACCTCCGCCACCTCTGAAGTTGCGTTGGCCTGCAATCAGTCTCTCAACTCCTTGCGCTTTGGACAGTTACTTGACACGCTGACAGGCGTTCACTTTCTCCCACATTGTGAATCATACTCAACTCTCAATCACATAAATCGCGACGCAGCAGCCAGGTGATTAGTGGGGAGAAAACAGATCGTGTTCCAATGACTTTTGGGGAATATTCGAAAATGCCGCTACTCTATTAGCACGGCACCGAAACCGTCCAATAGACACACGGTAGGTGAAACTCGACGAAAAATCGAACAGACGACAAAACTAAAATCTATTTAATGGGTGGGGAAAAAACTTGCCTTCGCGAACGAGAGGAGAATTTCTCATGCATTTGGATCCCGTGACCGGGTACCCTGGACTTGGCATTCAGTTCGGAAAGAAGCAACAGCCCTTTGGCCGTATTCACACTTGCGACCGGCGTAAGCAGGTGCTGCCCGGAACCGAGGCTAGAAGTACGATTGAGGAGAATATCCGAGGACTGCTGCGATCGCGCCGGAGAGGAAGCATGTCGTGGTTTCCAAATTTCTGCTGAGGATTCAAATGGTACCAAAACATCACCCGGTCCTGCAGGATCATGAATGTGATGAGTATTCTGACCGACGTCAGCATTGGCACTACGTTCAATCGATTTTGGTTGTGACACTGAAATATAAGCGAGAGACTCAGCAGGATTCAGTTGAGTAATAATAATAATAATAATAGTCAGTCGTAGCTGTAGCACCCTTTGGGTGCCTAACTACCATGTCACCAGAAGGAAGAACAAGGGGCTGGGATACTGTCGGGTTGCTCAAGCCTAGACAGGGAAAGTCGAGAGGCAGAGGTCGGGTCCGAACCTCGGACCTTCCGGTTGGTAAATTCTCGCTCCAACCACTTGAGCCATTCCATTGAGTTCAGAGTATTTGTCGAGTTCTGTTCAATTTGGATACAAGCAGAACATGAACTTGACGGGATCTCAGGGACCGCACCTACTTGATGAGCTCCGAGGAATACGAAACCGATCGTGGGCTATCGAACAGTTTTCAGCAACCTTATGAGTAGTGTATTACGTCTGGACAACGAGATAAAATACCACTTTCCGGTCACTTGAGGTTCTACATCCACTTATCTAACGGGTTTCCGGTTCAGAAAATTCATGTATGGTGCCCACGTTACCCAGGTGGACCCGGCTGGTGATCCTCATTTCAAGTAGGGAATCCCGAGGATTGATGTTAGCTCGATAGACCAATCCAGGCTACAACGAAGGGGGGCGGGATGGCCCAAGCGGTTAGATCGCGAATTTACTCACCGGAAGGTCCGTGGTTCGAACCCGACCTCCGCATCTCGACTTCCCCTGTCTAGGCTTGGGCAACCTGACAGTATGCCAGCTTTCGTGAAACAAGGTCACCAGATAAATCTGCTAGTTCGGCGTTTTGGTTTCTATCGCAGTCCGACGGGTTTAGTGAAGGCAAAGCTGTCCGCAGACACTGAAAGGTAAACGTCTGGGTTTGTCCCAACATTGTGATTGCTTCGAAACGCTGGTATGGGCTACGCTTTCAAGTACATAGGCTTTGCAACAAGCGAGAATCAGTACGTTATCGATTTATCCAGTGAGTGAAATCAGGTCAGTAGCGCAGGTGAACGGGTTAGCCTCTGCTACGGCACTTGTCTCGTTTCCGTCTGGTGACAAAGGTGCCAGAATGAATGTCGATCCATCAAAGAGATGGTAGTTCCCAAGCGGTTACCAGTAGGTCTCACTAGCGAGATTCAAACAGCATAAAAAACGAAAGTAGAGAATTGGGGTTTTCAAATGCAGACATTTTAAGGAGGTGGATTACTAGACTGGTAACTGACTACAGTTTGACAGTAAACATTTTGAAAGCCCTGAAGGGGTAGTGCGGGTTCACGATGGCCAATTGTCAACTCAAACGGCGAGGTTATCGATCAGCGACAAGGTCATGACATGGAAACATGAAATGAAAGCAGTCACAGTCAAGATGAATGCTGCACCTTCCTGACTGGGGCCCGCGTGATCGTGTTGGCATGGAACTGGATGTGGCGAGGAAGTTGTCATTTCTCGGAAGGACATCATCATTCAGCTGTAACACCCCTTCGATGCCTAACTATCATGCCACCCGAAGGAAGCACGAAGGCTGGGAGAAGGTCGAGGGGCGATGTTGGGTTCGAACCACGGACCTTTTACTCAGTAACCATCTCGCACCCGTTGGACGGACATGCTAACTAGAGTTCGCCTGTCAAACGGCTTATATGCGGTGAGGTCCGCAAGGAACACTGGATTAATCCAGCTGATGTTGCCTTACTTCGACACACGGCGCACAAGTGTATTCATTATAACGCTGTGATGTTTGTCCGAAGTGACGAAACCAAATTGCTTCATGCATCGTTTTTTGGAAATTTGAAATCAAGGTTTATACATCCTGTCCATAGAGAGAACCAACAGTCTATCACTGTGAGGGGCGAACTGCTCACCTTCCATAAAACATTGCGGTGATCTGCGGACGCACAACACCTGTAGGAGTTAGCTTAGTACTAGCAAACGTTGCGCTACAACCTCTGTAGACCTGCTTAACAGTTGCTTCGTGTTTAGCGTTTTCACAGTGTTAGTGCTAATGACTTCGAGAAAAAGAGAGTTGGTTGAGTTTCCCGTTAATCTACCGTTTATCGTTTATCATTTACAGTAGTGACCCGCTCAACTCACCGAATTCAGACATGAAGAATGCTGTTGACTCGGGGGGTACGCTTCGCCCCATGATACCATATGACTGAGTTCAGTGCACCCATGCGCGTCTGTCTTCGGTTACGGACGGTGTATTCCTCGCCCAGTTTCCGTAACGTAGCTGTTAAGAATATGCTGACCACATTTACTCAGCCGAGAGGGAGTCATGAGCCTCACTGCCTGGCATCTCCTAGCGTCGCACAATCAGGCTAACTAGGTGGGCAAACACCCGGTCGAATCCGATGAAAGAACTCCTACCGTGCATTACAGACGCCGGGGAACGAGTTCCTCGGATGTATGAGAACCCCTGTTGGGTGTCGTCGGGATAAGCTGAGGATTATACCAGAGTGGGTCGAATGAGTGGGGCTGGGTTATTCTGGCGTAACGGTGATACTATTGATGGGGGCATGCGAGTAGTATGTTTTCTTCTTGTAAATTCGCTTTGCGTCTCTTGAAAAGGGAGATCTATTGCGGAATTTGTGGAGTCGCTTTGCAGCATTTGCTTGGATTTGGGCAATAGTCAATGAATATCCAGGAAAGTTCAGGAATACGCGTTCAAAGAGAAGATGGATGTTCAGTTTTTGTAAACGAGATGCATATGAGAGTTTTGCTTCCCTGTCCAATAGTCTGCAACTGGTCAGTTGACATTTTCTAATAAATAACTCCGCAGCGAAGGCCTTCTTCCTCTCACTGGTGGTCAACATAGTCATAAGGAATAAAAAGACGAATCGTTTGATCGTCAATCAAACGCGACGGATGTTCTCGAAAAGCGAGGAGATATGTTGGGTCCTGGGGAGGGAGGCACTGGCTACGAACTAATCTGCGTTATATGGTTAACAAAGGGCGGCTCACCACTAGCAATATGATTTCAGGTACTGTCCCATCAAGATACGGTGCCACTGGGGTGGGAACTCGATGCGCACGGAGTTTGCAGACAAGGTGCAAACATTGGAATGTACGCATTTAAAGATTCACGGAAGAATCCGAGCACCAATCAGCTATGTTGTATCCAAACGTTCGCCAATCAATCATTCTATTGCTTAAATATTGAGGAGACCTCACAATTATTACATATTCACACTGAATGGGCGTTGATGAGGTGTCTCACATTTAAGTGACATCTTCAGAGTCATTACTCAAGGTGCTTTTATTAAATGAAAACATGAAATTTCGGACAGTATTGAAGTCTATAATATAATTTTAAAAATCGTTCAGTTGTAGACCTCTTCCGGTGACTAGCTGTCATGCCACCCGAAGGAAGCGAAGCACCTGGGATACTGTCAGGTTGCCCAAGCCTAGACAGGGGAAGTCGAGAGGCAGAGGTCAGGTTCGAATCACGGACCTTCCGGTCCGGTAATTCACGTTCTAACCACTTAGGCCATCTCATCTCGAATACCGTAGCGACTGAAGCATGAGGCGGCCTGGTGCAGCACATTCAGTTGCCTGGAAGCATTACAAACGATAGATTAAGCTGGGTTCCAGGTGAGTCTCTCGAAAACCAAATTTGTTTGCAGGTGAGTGCATTTCGCTAATTTCGTGCAATTTGGCTTCAAGTAGAACATAAGGTTGACAGAACCTCGGGGACTTCGCCCCGAAAAGGGTGAATCCGGTCGTGGGCTGTCGAAGAATTTTCAGCAACTTATGAATAGTGCATTACGAAACGAAGTGTCCAGCTTCACTTTACAAGGACTGTATACTCCCAACACAGTGTTGCATGTCAAAAAATATTTAGGCCATCACGTGACTGTCATGAGAAGTACAGGAAAGGTCACAGTACCTAAGATGTACTACCCAACGCCGAACGGCACAGCGGTAGTTATTCACATAAACCTACTGGCAGAAGCTGGGGATATCCTCATTTCTCTTTCGGAACCGCACGGATGCGCAACTTCTGGGGCAATAACATCAGACGAACCATCCGCTTTCCTGGACCATGAAAAATGAGGCGATGAGATAATCGGAACTCGATTTGCCTCGTCTCCGGCGGAGCGCGAGTGACAATGACACCCACACCAGTGAACTTCATGATCCGCATCGGTGAATGTCGCCACGGTTCGAAGATTGGTGGAAGAGACAAGAGTCGTTGAAGAAATCGTGGCAGGTGTGGAACAGTTGACCCTGAGGGAGACACTTTGTCTGGAGCAAGCGTCGTGATCCGCCCGATCGTCACCACTACTTGGGTCAGTCACTCGTCCCGATATTGGTGCTGGCTTCCGGCGTGGAACCGCCAGCTTCCCCATACGAAGGACCAACAGATCAGACCCAGCGGGTTTGTTGGAAGCCGTCAATTTTGAGGGTAGAAAAGACCCTGATCGGCTGTACTCTTTGTCCACGTCAGTTTCATCTCGAGCCAACAGGCGGCGGCGCAGAGCAGCCTCGGCACACTGGGCTCGACCCAACTGATCCGTCAGGACACGCTCCGCAGTTGTGACATTTGCTATGGCCTACGATAGGAAACAGAGAGAGAGAGACAGACAGAGAGAGGCAAAGACATTCCAGTGAGGCGAGATCGACCGATATGGGAACAAGGAGACCGAGAGGAAATCCCTCAGGATTGATGATACGAGAAAATATTAGATTCATGGAAATTTACGAAAAGATTGCCGAAACCTTAGAGGTAGAATTCTCTAGAAAGATGGTACTATTATGTGACTGTTCTCCTGTTCCCGGAGCTTGACATTTCAGCAGAGAAGCATGGCAACGCTGAACTAATCATCATCAACAGCACGGGGGACACTGATGCTCCACTGCCGTACAACCATAAAGTTTGCCTCAGTATATTTAAAGCCTTAGAGTGAAATAGTGCATTACGAAACGAAGTGTCCAGCTTCACTTTACAAGGACTGTATACTCCCAACACAGTGTTGCATGTCAAAAAATATTTAGGCCATCACGTGACTGTCATGAGAAGTACAGGAAAGGTCACAGTACCTAAGATGTACTACCCAACGCCGAACGGCACAGCGGTAGTTATTCACATAAACCTACTGGCAGAAGCTGGGGATATCCTCATTTCTCTTTCGGAACCGCACGGATGCGCAACTTCTGGGGCAATAACATCAGACGAACCATCCGCTTTCCTGGACCATGAAAAATGAGGCGATGAGATAATCGGAACTCGATTTGCCTCGTCTCCGGCGGAGCGCGAGTGACAATGACACCCACACCAGTGAACTTCATGATCCGCATCGGTGAATGTCGCCACGGTTCGAAGATTGGTGGAAGAGACAAGAGTCGTTGAAGAAATCGTGGCAGGTGTGGAACAGTTGACCCTGAGGGAGACACTTTGTCTGGAGCAAGCGTCGTGATCCGCCCGATCGTCACCACTACTTGGGTCAGTCACTCGTCCCGATATTGGTGCTGGCTTCCGGCGTGGAACCGCCAGCTTCCCCATACGAAGGACCAATAGATCAGACCCAGCGGGTTTGTTGGAAGCCGTCAATTTTGAGGGTAGAAAAGACCCTGATCGGCTGTACTCTTTGTCCACGTCAGTTTCATCTCGAGCCAACAGGCGGCGGCGCAGAGCAGCCTCGGCACACTGGGCTCGACCCAACTGATCCGTCAGGACACGCTCCGCAGTTGTGACATTTGCTATGGCCTACGATAGGAAACAGAGAGAGAGAGAGACAGACAGAGAGAGGCAAAGACATTCCAGTGAGGCGAGATCGACCGATATGGGAACAAGGAGACCGAGAGGAAATCCCTCAGGATTGATGATACGAGAAAATATTAGATTCATGGAAATTTACGAAAAGATTGCCGAAACCTTAGAGGTAGAATTCTCTAGAAAGATGGTACTATTATGTGACTGTTCTCCTGTTCCCGGAGCTTGACATTTCAGCAGAGAAGCATGGCAACGCTGAACTAATCATCATCAACAGCACGGGGGACACTGATGCTCCACTGCCGTACAACCATAAAGTTTGCCTCAGTATATTTAAAGCCTTAGAGTGAAAAGAAGGGAAAAAGAGTGGGTGAGGGAGGGGACCTAGTGCTGGACTATGTCAAGCATTCCCAGGTGCCTACACCTCCAAGTGCTCAATCAGACAATCTGGGAAGAAACTGATAGCACGAACGCCACTGAGATCGATAAGCCACCATTTCTCGCAACATCTGCAGCTAAGCACACGTGGGGTCATGGGAACCCCAGCGTGGAAGGCGTGTACCACCAACGTCCTACCTTCGTTTCCACGCCTTACTGGGGTGTTGTAGTTGCCACTACTGCTGTATTGCTTTCTACGATGATTATGGCAGTGGTGAGACCGTGTGGGGAATTCGCAAAACAAGACCAGTACCTCTCAAAAACAATGAGTTCGCTCGGGAATTTCAATGGGGTTGCTGTGCCGTGCGTTGTACGGGGAGACTACGGAACCATAAGAACGGTAAAATAGAAATAATTACCTCATCTAGTTGCCTTAAATCACGTGATAAAGTAGTATCGTCACCCTCATCCTCATCGTCCAGATCCTCGGGTAATCCTTCACTGAAGCAACAGCTCGATGTGGCATTGCCAAGGTCTGGTTCACGGTCTGCCGACAAATTGGTCACCGACAACCCATCAACCACTTCGGCTTCGTCTTCACCCTCCGCACCATCCATTTCAAACTCGACATCCTCGTGACTCCCCAACAGATCGTCGTCATCACCAGTGTAGTCAAAAAGAGCATCCTTGGCGGATGAATATCCGGACCGTGTCATTTCTGATTCAGAGCGTATTGATGGTGGATACTTAGTCGAGGGGGTCAGGCCCGGCGGTAGAGAACGATTCGTTGGAGTGGCTGCGTTAGACAGGGTGGTGAAAGTGAGTTGCTGAGTCGGGTCAGTGATCAGTCGCTGCACTTTGGCACAGTGTTTCGGAACGACTAGATGCCAGCTTGCTAGACCTTGTCCTGGTCCTAGATGATCGGATTCCGTCTCCCCGCTGGCCTCGGCCAGGTCCGAGCCCGCAGTGAAATTAACCAACGGAATAGATATGTAAGGCGAATCATCCACATTGGCGACCGCCAGCGCAGCTGAGGCAAGGACTTGACGCATGATGGGCTTCCCGGGAAGAGTGGTTCTTTCATCCCACGCAAGTGCGTTAGGACTAGAGGAAGTGGGGAACAAAGAGATAATGAGAGAGGAGAGGGAACTTGCAACGGCTCAGTGGTTAAGACGCGAACCTACTGATCAGAGAGTCCATGGTTCGAACCCAACCTCTCCATCTCGACTGTTCCTGTCTAGGCTTAGGCAACTTGGCAGTATCTCCTTCCTTCGGATGGCATGGGAGCCAGGCACAAAAAGGGTGCTACAACTGAATGCTTCGTGTTCAAATGAGTCATCGGTTGAAAGGGAAGCGAGCACCAAGCAAAGCACACCCCGTCAAGCTTACGGACAAAGCAAAAGTACCACAGGAGACTTGTATACAAACATGAACGAGATGGCTCAAGTGGTTAGAGAGCGAATTTACTGACCACAAGGTTCGTGGTTAGAACCCGACCTCTGCTGCATCTCGACTTCCCCTGTCTAGGCATGGGCAACCTGACAGTATCTCAGCCCTCGTGCTTCCTTCGTGTGGCATGGCAGCTAGGCACCGAAAGGGTGCTATAGCTGAACGATTTTTCGAGAGAGAAAACATAAAGAACGATGACTGGTTTCACTTAAAAGCGAAGCCTAAAGTGGGAAAAAAGAGAAATCCATCACTGCTATGAAGGGAACATTTTACCGTCTGCCAAGCTAATTTTGGTTCATGGACAATCAGACTGCCCTCAACAAAGTGGAAACAACCGCAGTCAGCTCCCACCCACCGCCCGCTTGAAAAATTCCGAAAAGAGACCAACCAAGTGATTTTTCGGGAAAAAGTGATGGGATTGATTTTGCTGCTGTTGGTGGTACACTACCCTCCCCGAATGGTTTTTGGTGTGTCCGAGAGACCAGCACGTTTCGAACTGTTTCCAAACAAGCGGTCATCATTGTAACTGACTTTAAAGAGGACCCCTCAATAAGATTTCAATGGCCACCACCTTATCAGATTCGTCTCTTAGCTGGTCTGTCAACGCGAATGAGTTGCCTAGTCTATTGGGAATAGGTCTCGAACAAGGTCCAACAAAAACGTTGGCAATTCGAAATGAAATCGTTCAGCTGCAACACATTTTCGGTGCCTAGCTGCCATGCCACACGAAGGAAGCACGAGGGCTGGGATATTGTCAGGTCGAGAAGCAGAGGTCGCGTTCGAACTATGGACTTTCCAGTCAGTAAATTCGCGCTCTAACCACTTGGTCCGTCTTTGTGCCTTTATAGTGAAAATCTGTCCAACTCCTGAAAACTTTAGATACTCCTATCTCAGCCGTAACACTCTCACGGTTCCAAGCTGTCAAACCACCCGGGGGAAGCAAAAGGGATTACATACTGCCAGGTTGCCCAAGCCTAGACAGGAACAGTGAAGATGCCAGGGCTCAGTTTGGACCACGAAATTCCCGGTCAGGAACTTCGAGCCCAAACGGCTAATTCTATGTTCTGAGAGCTGAATCTCTTCGGCTAAAATCAAGAAACGAAGGACGGCCGTCAAGAATGACTAACACGGTTTCGGAAGAAATTCAACAACAAATCTAAACAGCTTGGATGAGAAATCCTCACGGGAATAGTTGAAATCAGAAATAGCGCCGCAGAGGATGCATCCACCTGATTGTTCCACAGTCAGCACTGTATGCAAAGATGTGCTATTCAATAACACGTACACACACATGGCGGTACGCGTTTGACTGTAAGTTGGACACCAACCTTGCAACAGCGATCAACTTTAAACAGCCTCGTGGTAATCAACGTTAGGATACCCATATCGATTATTCTGGACAATAACCTTTTCCACCAACGTGACACTGAGTACCCTTCAGGAAAAAAACTGATTTCGTTCGACTCGCGAAATACACCCATTTGCGAGAGACTCGCCCGGAACGCAGCTAAATCTCTCATTTGTGATGTTTCCAGGCAACTGAATGTGCTTCACCAGGCGGCTTCGTGTTTTAGTTGCTACGATAATCTAGATGTCGCGACACATGTATTTTCGTAGTGCACTACTCATAAGGTTGCTGAAATTTCTTCGGTCACTGTATTATGGAAGCTATTACAATACAACTTTACACTCACTGAGAAGAATGGTTTGAACAAGCCCCACCAAGTTCCCCTTGATTCCAACACTGCTAGACTAATTTGTGACATCGGGAGCGAGATGGTTCAAGCGGTTAGAGCGCGAATTTACTGACCGGAGGGTCTGTGGTTCGAACCCGACCTCTGCCTCTCAACTTCCCCTGTCTAGGCTCGGAAACCTGGCAGTATCCCAGCCCTCGTGCTTCCTTCGGGTGGTGTGGCAGCTAGGCACCAGCTGAATGACTTTTTTTGACGTCGTATAGGTGAAAAAGGATAGTCGCACACGACACTCACCGGTGTTCGTCATCTGCACGTTCATACTGACGCAGTAGATTCATCTTCTCAATCAGCGAACGAAAATCCTGCTTGCTGTGCTCCAGAATCATGATAACTTCCTGGTGACAAAGCGGAAAAACGGTTCAATATGGGTGCTGAAAAACGGTGCATACTACTGATGAAGAGTGCAAGTAGTCAATAGTCTGGTAAATGGCGTTTCTTTTTTCAATAGGATAGTTGAGTGAACAACAGTTCATTTGCGGATCGAGGTAGAAATTCGAAGAAGACAAAAGCGTTTGGGAGGACGTGGAAATTCCAACTGGGAGAAGGCCACAGAAGGGTCAGACGGGGGCACCTTTCCCAAGAAACTCTATGCAAAGAAAGGAACTGGCAGCAACCTCGGGAGGCAAAGTGGTTTCAAATCCCCTAGAAAAACTTGGTGATCTCACATGAGCCACCCAGCAGACCGAAGAATAAATAAAAACTCATAACGATCAGTGTTCAGAAGCAAAGAAATATGTGGATGAATATGGTTACTCAGCACTGTTGATCCGCTGTTCTCACCATACATAGATGGTCAAATATTCAAAGTTTTTATCATCTTTAGTTCGCAGTAGCCAATTTTTATGGCCTACTTAAAGTTATGGAGCCCACCATCGCATTGTAAGCTCGGTCCTTGACAGATAAACGCCCGCACCATAGATGATGGCGGTTCACAAAAGCTGCTCTGACCTTCCCAATCCGGATGGGAATATCTTTCGCGAGACCACTGGGACTGATACAGCTGCCCAACTATACAAATTTGTCTACTACCCCAATCGGTTTATCCACAATTAAGAGGTCAGAGTCCACGCAGTCTTGCAGTGGCGCTTCACATTCCTCAGACGTGAAGTTCATGCCAAACCTTGAGGTAGAGGTGTTCAGATCAAATACCATGGCGTCTTATCCAAGAAGAGTTATGTTTCCTGGAAACTCAGTATCTGGAAGCGAATGCTCCGGGAGCACTTCGGCCCCACGGGCATTAGAGGCTGGTAGTGAGTCATCCACAATCGTATCAATGACGAAGTGGAAAAGGGAAAGTGAAAAAGGGCAGCATTACCTGACACCACTTGGTGTGTTGAACTCAGGTGAACTCACACGTCCGCGGCAGTTGGCGTACAGCGCCGTAAGGAGGGACAAGAATTTATGGGGGGCACCTTTGCCCCACAGACTCAGGCGCAACCACCAACGCATCGCTACGTACCACTACGCTCCCTAACAATGCACTGATGATATCACCTCGATTGGTGATGAAACGTTTGCAATCAAACTGCCCAGCTCAGTGAACAAGCCAACGAGTACACTGCCATGGTGTCTGACAGTCCACAGAGTCAAAGGCAGCTTTCAAGTCAAGGAAGACAGCCATTGTTGGTCTTTGGAGGCAGCGTCACTGTTCCAGTATCTGACGGAGGATAGTTCGTATGGATCGTTCGTAATTTATTTCTTATTCCGATGGGGGCGATCAAGATTTACATTCCATACGCCCACTATCTCCACAGGCTGGGTTACAGGAGACCAGCTGAACTATTCTTCGAACGGTTTGGCCCATCTTTCCAGTCGACGTTCTTGCGAGTGAATTATTGAACCGTCTTTTTCACTTATCTTTTCACTGACCGCTGCTCTTCTAAAGCCGGTGCTTCGTATCAGTTGGTATGGGGCCAGGCTATTTCCGGTAGCAAACGTTCTCTCCATCTGCTGGGCCTTCGATGTACACCAAAGCTCCCGGTTGTTCCTTATGCTGTCCGCATTTCATGCTTATCCTTCCACATCAAAGCTTCAGTAACGCATGAACTTTGTGTTGCACATAGCTGCTCTTGCCACTCCACACACAGGCTACTTGTCTCTTGTCATGGCGAGTACATCATTTGCGAAATTTTGGAAAATGTAATCACAACGACTGTAAATATCAGAAGAAACAAGTAAATCATTAAGCAGTACACCGAGCGCAAACCAATATTTTCAAATATCAGTACGCCGGTACTCCCACAGTTTCAGCTGAAGTTTATAGAGCAATTACCAAACGTACTTTGCACTCAACCTCGCTTTCGTCTGCCTCACAGGCCGAATAGATTTCATCAATTGTCCTGCGTAAGGTATCCAACATTTGGCCCCAGTAGCGAGCACGATATTCGTTCTCTGTACGGGCAGTGACGGCGTTCCTGGATCCGACCGGTGGACGCGCCATGGACCTGTTTGAAATTGCCTTGTGGAACGATGAGTCCTGCAAGGAGGTAGAGCTCGAATTAGGCGAGAACGTAGCGCGATCCTGTAGGGAAGGCGAAGGACTAGTTGCACTGGTCGAGTTTGTCAATGTACGGTTGCACCGGGGGCTCGTTAGTTGGGACCAGCTGGACGTGTGGTAGGTACCCTCCACAAATTGAGGCTTTGGTCGATTAGGCGTGACGGTCATCCGCAACTTTGCAGGCGAGGACTGAGTTGTAGAGGACTGTCTGGCTGGAAAAAAGGAAAAGCACAACAGACAAGTCCCATTGGAGTTTACCTGAAAAGAAGGGAGAGGGAGACACCTGAAGGAAACCTTAGTTAGTCGGGTCACTAGTTACGTTTTGTGAATACACATGGGCATCATGTGATGGATGACATCACGGAATCGCCAAAGGCTGAGACCTCGTTTAGGGACGACGTACCTGGTTGCTAATCAATATCGTGATACTCGTATATCTTCCGTCTCACCAATGGAGACGTGAGGGGTCACTGGCACGACCTCTTTAAGCAAGTAGATATTAGGGCATGGAAGTTATTTAATCGAACAGAATCATAATGAAAGTTGCTCTGGCAATAAGTTCATTTGCATGGTTCCTTTCCTGTCAGGGCTCATTCAGCTGTGGCACCCTTTCGGTACTTAACTGCCATGCCACCCCAAGGAAGCACGAGGGCTGAGATTGTTGTTGTTGTTCAAGCCTAGACAGCGGAATTCGAGATACATAGGTCGGGTTCGAACCGCAGACCCTCCGGTCGGTAAAATGGCGCTCGAACCACTGAGCCATCTCGTACCCCTGTCAGGGCACGACAATCCTACTTAGACCGCACCACATAAATTTCGTACTCTCGACGAAGATACCTGCCGAAAGAGACTATTCTAAAGTGTCTTCCCACAAATAACTTGAAGGGCCAAAGCTGTGACGTAAGAAATCTTGCACAGCTGAGCTGGGACCGAAATATTGCAGCGTAAGGCATCTTACACCACAACTTTGACTCCCTTCAAAGTTATTCTAAAATCGACATACTATTCACGTCATATCCGAATGGTACCTTCATACCCAAATCCTCGAAATTCCATGATCATGCAAAATAGGAAGGAACCAACTAACGAGTCTTATCGTGTTAGGCCAGGTAGTCCCGAAAATAGAACACCCTGATTATCAACAATAACAATGGTCGTTCATGTGTGTTTGTAATGCCCTATTCATAAGGTTGCTAAAAAAGATTCCTCGACAGCCCACGACCGGTTTCCCCTTCTTGGGGCTCATCAGGTAGGTGCAGCCCCCGAGTTTCCGTCAACCTTATGTTCTACTTGAAACCAAATTTTACGAAATTAGCGAAATACACTCATTTGCAAAAAAACTTTTTTTGCCTGCAAATACCACAACCGAGAGATTCAGTTGGGTTCGCTAATGATCGTTCACCCTTTTGGGTCTGTCCTCCATGTCACCAGAAGGAAAAACGGGCTGAGACACTGCTAGGTCGCCCAAGCCAGATGAAGAGTTTGGTTTCGAGCCAAGGACGCTCCGGTCAATAAGTTCGCGCCTTATCAAAAGATTTGTTAGAATTTCACTTACGTCTCAGACAAGAGTGACTATGCCTGTGTTTTGCACACTATTGCCTGTCTGTGTTCGTACGTCACGCAATAAGTTAACAAACCATGCGAATTAATGTAGGAAACAACAGCCCGCTGACTGCCTTATCTTCTCCAGGTAGTTTGCTTGTCTACAGTGCTACGACACCCTTGGAGATCCGGATAGAGCATGCGGGAGGTACTGAAAGAGAAGGCTCAACAGTGTTCGCTCACATTAGCATGTTGCAGTTCGTTTTACGTACATTACGACGGAGAAGCAACTACCATAAAACAGCAGGGGTTTTTGACTGGTAGAACCTAAGTTAGCCCAATTAAGTGTAAGTACACACAAAGAAACCTAGATGCTTGAAATACGACCTGAATGATCATGTACAAAGTCTTGCTCCGAATCAAAGCAGATAAAAAATGGCAAGTCAGTTCGTTTGCTCACCACCATGTACGTTCTCTATCGGAACGTTATATTTGATGATGTTCCGAGCCTGAATGCCTTCGTTCTTTATTTTGTTCTTGATCCATTGCGAAACAGCTGAGCGCTGAGTCTAAAAGTCGAGTCAACAATCACTGATAAGTTACCTTCTGTCCACCATTACTGTCACCGTTGCTTGTGCTGGAATCAAGCATTTAGGGACACGTCGGTGGGAAACCTGAACGTTTCGAGAAAATCAAGGTATTGTTCATGCGGTTGAATTGATCCTCAAGTGAAGTTCACTCGGAGCAACTGGAGATAAACTGAAATGAGATGAACAGACTAGACGTTGTATGTGATCAGATACTTTATAGAAGAAATGGAGCCATCGAGAACACAGCAAGATTGGGTACTAAACACCTCTGAAGAGTTTCATTGTCCTTGGTAGTCTCACCCAGTCAGCTTGTCCAATCATAAAAGGAGGTTGAAATGCATGCCCGATGTAGAGTTTCCAAGAGTTTGACACAGCGGATGGGGGCGAATGCACTTGAAGGAAGCCCAATCAAAATGCATCGCCGTTGAGAGGCCAGAAGACAGGGTTTTCATTCTATCTGTTGGTACTACATATTGATCACATCAACCGCACAATATTGCGTCCCAGTATCATACGCATATATATATATATATATATATATATATATTTATGGGAAAAATTTCGCTCAACTCATTTTAACAGCAGCAACATATCAGTAGTAGATACTGGTGCCTAGCTGCTATACGGGCACGCGAAAAGGACATGCTATGCCGTGTCGTTCAGCTGTAACACCCTTTCGGTGCATAGCTGCCATGCAACTCGAAGGAAGCACGAGAGCTGGGATACTGCCGGGTTGCCCAAGCCTAGACAGGGGAAGTCGAGGGGCAGAGGTTGGCTTCGAACCACGGACCTTCCGGTCAGGAAATTCGCGCTCTAACCGCTGATCCATCTCGCTATCAAAATTGTGAAGACTTTTATGTCCCTAGAGGAAACGCCCAAGAACGAAATGCGTACACAATTGAACAGGAGAAGCACAAACTCCCCTCAGCATCATCGGAGTAAACAATTGTCAGTGGGACCGGCCTAACATCCTCCGCAAAACAACAAAAGGCACTAGATAGGCAGTCTTCCTGTGAGATTAAAGCATCCTTGCAACTGGCATTGATTACATGCCATGTTCTGTAGATTTTCAGCCACTTGTAAGAAGGGTCTCAACTAGGATGGTCTCGAACATTCTCACTAAAACGAATGTCACTGGGATGGAACGTCGAGAAAATAGTTCAGCTTTAGCACCCTCTCAGTTCCTAACCGCCATGCCACCCAAAGGTTGCATGAGGGCTGGGATACTGCCAAGTTGTCCAAGCCTAGACAGGGGAAGTCGAGAGGCAGAGGTTGAGTTCAAACCACGAAACTTCCGGTTAGTAAATCCACGATCTACCCACTTGGGCCATCTCGACGAAAAATTGAAAATGCGTCTGGTAGCAAGATAACTTTAGAAAGATTTCATCAAAACAGGTGAACATATACACCGCCGAAAACGGCTCGGGGCCACACCTGCTTGGGGTTTTAGTACGATGGGTTGGGAGGGAATGAGGGAGAAGGCCGGTGAGCGAAGAACTGCTGCACGGACGAATGGTACTTCCCGGTTGCCCACGCCGAAGAAGGAGGTTTAGTTGAGGCACTCCACCTTGAGCCTTTGACTCAAAGTTCTGAGCCACAAGGTAGTTGGGGCATGTGGAATTTTGTTCGGGGATCCTGCCCCTAGCCTCTGGCTCAAGAGTCTTAACCGCGAGACAGCGGTTGTTAAGGTTTACTTGGGGGACACTTTTCGGGGCATGATAGCTACAGGGGGGCTGCCTGGCCCCAGGGCGAAGGGAATAAGGCATCACTGTGTCACTCCTGGTGCGGCTGCTCACAGCAGAAACTCAGATGTTCCAGATGTGACACGCACGGTGTGGGTAATGCCCTCAGGGCCAGAGCTGAAAGCGCCCTACCGGACTGGATCCCAGTAAAATACCGTCTACGCACTGTGCGGTCGTTTGTCCTAGTTAAAATCAATGCATGTCGATGCGGTAAACGGTGTTTACCTGTCGTATCAGCATAAGTCTCGACAGACTGCAGTTCTGAGACTGAGGATGAGTTTTAGCGATATATGTCACCACTGCGTTGCTCAGTAAGAAAGTCGGGTATAGTTATTCTGGTATGTGATGTGAATGCCCACTGTCCGTCAGCATTACGTGTGGCATAGCCCAGCAGTTCCATTCATTGACTTAAGTTGCCAGTCAGTTACATAACATATAAGCGCGGTTCAAAGTAGGCTATTTAACTTCCTGGTAACCACAAAGGCAACCGTATGGCGGTTCTGACGGTGCAGATAACCACCAAATTAGCCACAAAAGCTGGTTATTAGACGACTATGTAACCGTCATATAAGCGGAAAACTCGTTTTTTTGGACCACTTGTGCTGCTACGGTTCGACGAGTTTTAGTGGCTCAAGTGTGAAGAACTAATCTGTCCAGAAAGCTCCTGGTGACGCGCAGTCATGCGAATGATGAAGAGTGCTTGAAGGTTAAGTAGAATACAGCTAAAAAGCTTTCTGAAGTGTTTGTGCGATTCAACTGACTTGTAATAACAGTAGCGCCATGGTTTATTTCTCATCTCCAAGCTAGCGTTCTCATCGAATGAACTACCAAAGGCGCTCAACGTGTAATAAAGCCAAAAACCAGGCCAGATTAAGCGGCATCCCGTGAATTCCGACGAATTCTGTATGCGGCACTGGCAACCGGCATTCGGCGGACACCGGATCGTGATTGGGTGTTGGTTCCACGTTTTAGGCCAATAAGAGCTCGCCGTGATGCTGGGCCAGCAAGCGACCCCGTCCTCTGCTCAATCGTGTGCAGGATAGGCTCCTTGGCCGTAGCAGCGCCGAACTGCGAGGAGGCATCTTGGCTGCACAATGCTCTTAGCCGGAATGAAAAAAAGTCTTAAGACAAAATGTTCCAGTTTGTCGCGTATGTGAGCGAACCGAAATTCACTCAAATCTATTGTCACACTTGCAAATCACCAAATATCATTGGCCGCTGGTGGGAACATGTGTCTCGCGAAAAAATTCTCGTCCAGTATTTTCTTAGCATCCCTAAGACTCCGAAATGCCTAGATGTGGCTCAAAAGTTTGGACTGTCATTAGGAACTCCATTGCCTGTGTGTAGGAACACTGAGCCCCAAGTGTGAGCGGTTAAGCGGCACCGGTGCGGAATTCCTCCTACAACTTCGTCTTGATGTTTGTTGACGCAACTTTGAAGTGGGTGTTAATTTGTTGCAGCTTCCATGGCTTGCGCACCGAGTCTCTCGGGAAGCGCGCTGGTAATATTTGACCGCGCTGGGCCTCCAACGGAGAAGTCGATGTATTTTCCGGTATCCTCCAGGGATCACTGTCCGAAAGAATCTCTAGACGCACCAAACTCACCAAAAAACGGAGCATTTAGCAATAAGTACGCCAAAATTAAAGATCAACAGAAGGGGTCCCAATTTCGTAAACTTTGTTTCATTCAGTCTTCTGTAATTTTGGCGCGCAGTTATGCTAAGAATGGTTCAAGCATACTCACGGTATAATTTAGGTGCGGAATTTATATTTTCAAAGACAGCCATTTCTCAGCACTGAATCCGCGTAGACGTTTGGGGGGTCTCTGGAAAACTTGGTCACTTCACGCCCTCAAAATGGGCGAAGCTGGTGGCAGGCCGTCGAACAGTTTGTAGCAACCTTGTGAGTAATTTTATTCATGAAAATATCATGAGGCGTTTCAGCCTAATTGACCTCTTGACATGGGGAGGAAGGGTAGCGAAAATTTCACAATCCGAAACGTTATGTCTGTGAACAGCGCTGGCAAGCTTAACTTGCTCTCGCAGCTGCGGAATTTTTAGGTGGGCATTCTAAGCGTACGTAGTGTACACAATTGGCCTGCTTACCTGAGCCAGCTAAAGCAGCGTAGCATTTCAAGGCAAAGTTTACATTTTGCATCGAGCAAGGATACCAGATGTCAAATTTTGGCTCTGAATTCCACGTAGTTGGTCGTGCGCTGCTTCAGCTCATCTTTGTTGCAAGTGTATTAGTAGACATTCCAATGTGTGCTTGAGATTCGTTGAGCAGTATAAGCCTATCGTATATTGAATTTGTCTTGAGGCAAGGTCACAGTTAACCATCTTACCGATTAGTCTTTGAAAGGCATCGACGTCTCCAGAAACTATATGTCCACCAACAGTAGCTTGTGCGTGAACGAGTGCGCCACGTCTTGTGGCCTGTCTAACTGCATCCTGGGGATATCAAAGGCCATTCGATAGCCTGTTTTATCACACGATTGCCCGCGTATCTCAAAAGATACCTTCGGTTCCCAACAGCCATCATGGGAGTGATACATCAACTGACAGGTCTCATCAAACATCCAACCCACCACAATCATTTAACTGCTTTCATTAACTCCGAAAATTTGACTGAATTCCCGCTGAACCTATCTATTTCTACTTTCGGTAGTTTGAACAGCGTTGTGGCATAGTGGTCAACATGCGGTCCGTGCGACGGGGTTCAACTTCGGCGGCGACATCATTTCCACGCAGATTCGTCGATGACTTTTCAGTTTCATTTTTGCCGTGAACTTCTCAACCTTCTGTCGAGTGGATTAAGAACTCACACACAGTCTTCTGAGTTCAGCCTGACATTAGCAGAGGACCCATAAAAAGGCGTCTGGTTCCTGAACGCTACCCTCCGCTTCCAAAATTTAAATTCGGGTAGACTTCCGAGAGTTACGGGATACTCCTCCGCTTCTAATATCTAGGCCTCCATATCAGTCGCAAACTCCTTATTCAGCTGCGTTAAGAGTGTGCCTGTTTTACTTTGAACCATCAGCTTGGTTAAGGATGAGTGCCGAAACGGTGGATGAATCGAAGGAACATAGATGTTACGGTCCAAAAGTCATCAAACATATTGTTCCTCAAGTTATCACGTTCTGGGTTTGTAAACTTATGGAGTAACTGGTCACTGTATTATGTTCATATTAATTCTGAAAGTTCCAAAATTTAAACTCGGGTAGACTTCCGAGAGT